AGTCCGCGAGAGGGTGAGGTGGGGCGGGACTTCACTACGCTCCCAATGAATCTCATTGGGCAAAAGGGTGTCAATCAGCCCAGCCCGAGAGGCGACTGGCCCCGACGCATGGAGGGAGGGGCAGCGGAGGGGGGGATGGACAAAGGGGAGGTAATTCGATGGCGGGGGGGAGGAGCCGCAAGTTGGGAGGCGGGGTAAAGGGTAGAAGCGCCAATCAGAGAGGAGAGATGGGGACCAAGGGGCGGAGTGCCCAAGGAGGCGGAGCGAAGAGGAGGAGCCTGAAGAAGGGGGTGGAAGAGGAGAGCGTCTAGAGAAGAGATGGGGAGGAGCTGCTAAGGGAGTGGAAAGTTGGCTCTGACTCTCCCCATCTGGGTGTCAGGGGAGTTCTTAGGGCCAATGGGGAGGGGACAGGAGGGCCATTTGACCTGGGAATGATGCTTAAAAGCAGGCCTCAAATTTAAACTCTTGTTAATTTTTTGGCATTTGTAAGTTTCACAACTTATTTTTATGCACATCCAAAATGTGACACAGTCCCTCAGCTTAGAGCTGCAAATCTAAGCAAATAAGAGAGGTGACTTGGTAAAAGACATAATTGTTTTGTTAACTGATACAGATTTTGTCATATTAAAGAATTTAAAATGTTCATAAACATTAATACAAATAGATACGTTCTGGTGGCACAAGATTAGACAGGGATGAACATGTCCTCTCAGATCACCTGATTATATGAACAAATCACTACTAGTGACTGGTGTTGGATCAGTGTTGTCATTTTTTATTTTTATTATGGCTAGGGGGCCTCAAAAGCTAGAAGTGCCTCTGTCATCTCTGGACCTCTGAGAGGACCTGGGCATTCTCATCATTGTGCTTCAATGGTAGGAAAAGACCAGTGCTAAATCCCAAACCTGAGCTGTTACTTGCTGGGCTGTCTTACCCATACAGTTAATATACAGCGGTATAGGGCACCCAATAATTTGGGGACACTGCAGGGTTTTAATGGCCACCCACCTGCTTCTTCCTATCCCTGTTCTGTGGTTTCTGTAGCCTTCATCTGGAGATGAGCCAGTTAACTTAAAAGTGACTAAATTTAAAAGATTTCTAGCAAGCCTATTAGGAGAACAATGAGCTTGTAAAAGAGACATTCAAGTAGCAATGAAGCCAATTAACAGATATATGATGTCAGAATATACTGTTAATCTACAGATTCTAGGTTAACATTTGCTTTAAAAATATTAGTATGTTGCTGAAAATTATAACATCATAACTTTAAAAATCATTCCTTCCCTCCTGGGTTGCTGTTGGGTGTCCTGTTTAATAGTACTGCATAAATTCTAAGGACAGGCCTGGCTACTTGTCTTCCACTGATGCCAAGTTGCTAGACTATTAGGGCATGTCTACACAGTAGGGCAAAAGTCAAATTAAGCAATGTAACTTCAGCTTTGTCAATTGCATAGCTGAAGTCGAAGTAGCTTAATTCGGCTTTTGGCGCTGTCTACACAGCAGGAAGTCAAAAGAAGAAGACCCTTTGACTTCCCTTACTCCTCGTGAAATGAGAGTTACAGGAATCAGAACAAAAAGTCCTCCAGCTCGACATTATTTCTAAATAAAGACTTGTAGTGTAGATGCCCACTATGAATAAGGCTGCTGTGTAGGTGTAGCTTTAGAGTACTTGCTAAGTGGGTTTGGAATAAAATCAGATCAGACATATTGTTAAGGCTTCAGAAGAAGGCGCAAATGACAAGGTACTTATTGGTACCATAGTTTTTTCAACATTAGCTATGTCTCCCTTTGCTTTGCAAAAATTATTAACTAAACAATTTCAGGATTGGTACACTGGTGAGCTTCTAATTATTGGAATCACTGAAGGGCTTTTTCCTATATAGAGCAGGTAAGGAGTATTTCTAACATTTCACAAGGTATTCAGCAATGAGGTATGAAGAACTGGACAGTACATTAGATCCTGATTTAGCAGCCTTTGAAGTCAATGAATGAACAAATTCCTACGGACTTTCATACATGCAGGATTAGTCCTTTAGTGAAAGCAGGCGTGCATCACTGCCAAGTTAGAAGTTATTTGTGCAGTCTAAATGCTGTAATCCTTGGAGACAACAAATCTTCAGAGCAATTTTTAATAGACTCATGTCTAACATGCCACCAAGAATAAAAGGAGGGTTCCTGAAGCTGCGACTTTGACAACAAAATGATCTACACATCAAATGAAGATAATGCTGCAGAATGTATGTCCAAATATCTGATGACAAAACATTCTGCAGATAGCGTCTAGGGTAGCAGATACACTCATGTATTTTTTGTTATTTCTTAGGCTACTCCTCAGGCCCTAATAAAAGGAAGAAATTCTGACTGAAATATCATGACTGTGACTTTCTTATTGTAATACCAATAACAATGTTAGAACAGTACAAATTATAGATATACTAGAAAACTTACCAGCCCGCCTGCCAGCTTCTCCCTGGGGTGGGTGTAGCCACACAGACTGCCTACCATCCTGAAGGTGATGTGGAGCCCAGGACACCACACTACTCCGTTCCCACCCTACCCATGCTCGACCTCGGTTTCACCTCTTCCTGTCCCTTCCCACCCCCATTCCACTTCTTCTCCCAAACCACTATCCCAAGTGATGTGGCCCAGGGGACTAGTGGGGTCCTGGTGCTAGCAGCAGGGATCAGTCTTGTCCCCACACTCACTGGCAGCAACAGGAAGCAGAGCCAGTCAGCCACAGCCTACTCTGCTCAGATGGCTCACAGCTACAGGTCATTCCACTTCCCACTGACCTCTCCCCAATCTCCCTCCCACAAGTGATGTGGCTGGGAGCCAGGTCACTCTGCCTCCTGCCACTGCAGATGATTGCAGAGGTGGACCTGATGTCAGCTGCCTCTGTGCCTTGTTCCTGCCCATCACAGCTCTGGGCCTACCCCCCACAGCTCCTGCCCCTACAGACCTGAGCAAAGCCCCCTCCAGGGAGGGGCTGTCCTCCCCCTGCTCTGTGGTGATGGTCAAAACTACCAGGGATAGCCCTGCTCTCATCCCTCTCTCACTTACTAACATCACCATCATCTTCTGTGGATTGACCTTCAGTCAGCTATTTTTCAACCAGGCCCCTATCTCCTCCAAGCACTGGGCCAGGACTGCTACAGCATCTGCTATAGACAAGACAGATAGATACAGAGACAGAGATAGGTGAAACAATGAAACAATTGGAATTTTAAGAAAGTTATTAAAAATGAAGGCCCAGAATTAATTATTGAATGCTCAGATTAACAGGGAACAATTAAAAACAAGGTAATCCTTTCTGGGAACGAACAGACTATTTAGCCACGCATGATGCTGTTAAAAACATTCTATAAAAACCCTTTGAGCCTTAATAAGAGCAATGACTTAAATACTGCAAGGATCAGAAGTAGCAGAACATAGCAGTTTGTCAGAAACTGTCCTCCACTCGCTATTGTAAAACATAATTTGGGGGTTGTGTTTCCCATTATCTTTCCTCTTGATAGGGGTTAAGATGCACGGTCCAAGGGCTGGATTGTAATTCACAAAATCAGCCACTAGATGTCATCATTGTCCTACAAAGAAACAAGTCATAGACTCATAGAAACAAAATACAGGACTATGTAGCACTTTAAAGACTAACAAGATGGTTTACTAGATGATGAGCTTTCGTGGGCCAGACCCACTTCCTCAGATCAAAACCTTCACCTTTCCCAGCCAATCAGAGCTGCGGAAGTGCTCTGTGGGAAGTGCTCTATGGGAAGCCTGTGGGAAGGGCAGGGAGCATGACTGGGAGCTATACTGCTGTGCCAGAGAAGAGGAGTGGGGCAGCTGGCTCCTGCTGTGTTGTTTCAGTTTGCTATACTGCCCATAAATACCTTGCTGGCACTGTGTACCAGAGCATACCAGTTTATTTGCACTGTTGAACTATTGTCAGCAGAGTCATCATCATCACGTTCCTATTATGTCGGTGGCATGTAGGGTCATGGGGGAAGCTCCTCTATGCCTGTCTGTTTCTGGAAGACTTTTTATTGGTTTCCCAGCTGTGCTTCAGGTTTTTCACCTCGACTTACACTGTTCTTTGCCATGTTGTTTTCAGGCGGCCTCATTTTCAATTGCCTTCAAGTGTCCATCTTATTTCCATTCTGCTGAGGGAATCAGTTCCCATCTGAAGGACCCGGCCAATCCATCTCCAAGGCCTCCTGGCAATGATGATGCTCACATCCGCTTGGCTGCACTGTGTCAATAGATCTTGGTTTGAGATTGTTCTGGGATGAAAGATATGCAGGATTTTTCTGAGGCAGGTTGTATGGAAGCAAGATAGCTTGGACATGTCATACTTTCTCATTCCTCTGATAAATCTTGAATTTAATTTTTGGTGTTGTATTTGGATGATTTCCAGACTGTATGTAAGCTCCTGGAGGTGTGCCTGGCTTTATTGTTTTTGTTTCGGATATTCTGGCTTGTTCCACCATCCTGGCTGATGGTACTGTC